GGTGTAGAGAATCCTTCTTGTGACACGACAGGCAATTCATGTTGATTAATATAATGATATAGCAATGAATGAATACTACTTTATGAGACTGCTAATGAATCACATTGATCTACGAAACAATAGCGAGGTTTCTAACACAACAGTTGGAGCCAGATGAGAACAAGAACACATTATGTAAGCATAGTTCATTAAACCATGGCAGGGGAGAAACCAGATGAAGGGTGATCAACATGAATGAAAGAAAAACTGTGAAGGGAAATGTTACTGCGTATGGAAATGCAGACAGATGATGATGATGAATGTGTCAATTAATTGACGAAGCGGTTAAATACAGCCCTGCGAAGATTCATCACATTCTCTCAGTCTATAGCCAGTTCTAGGGACAATATTACGAGTAGATAAATCCTGATTGTCACAATGCATAGAGCCCAGGTGGCGCTGTCACTTAGTGGGGTGAGAAGTCTGCTACAAGAACTGGCACAATCTCTGTTGGCGGGTGAGGAAAGCCATGGGCTGAGAGCAGCCGCACACGAAAAGCCTTCGGCTACACTGCAGGACTGCATTCCATTAATGTTGGCGAATAGTACAGTAGTTTTATCAAACGATGCAAGGGGTGATAATCGGTTTTTAAAGGTTACAGTAAGTCGTTCATTCATTTTGCGCTTATCCCTGTTTTGCTGGAATATCTATCTCCCCCTTTGTGGTTATCAGTGATGAACATTTAATTTATCTCTATTACTATTATCATGAAAGAAGCTGCATGAAGACAAACTTGAGACCATCTTACGCCAAATTGACCGTCTCCATAGACGAAAAGAGCCATACATTACTATTAAACATCTTTAACCTCTTTGTTGTACTGCAAGGGACGTGATTTTCCTTTTGGAACCCAAATTCTCGGAAATGAATGTTCTCTAAGTCGTATCAGTAAATCTCTGAACACAAATGCTATCTAGGTCGATTCCGTAAATCGTTGAAGAAACAAAGTCCCGTCAAAATGAATGAACAAGAGAAATAAATAAATGCGATATTCAAGATCCCTTGGGTTTACTAGAGCCTCGGGGGCCCAAGCCAGTCCTGTGTGTACACGCTTGATGTCTACACACTCACGCACACACACACACACACACACACACACACACACACACGCACACACTAAGACTAATGCTATCCTAGTAGCAGAGTGCAACCTTTTGATTCAATTGTGTGAAATTATACAACGGAGTACCAAAGCTTTACACAGAGTATTGAGTCATTTTTTAAAAGTTGTACGTTTGATTTCTTCTGGGGAGAAACAGCATGTTACATCATAACATACATACAAAATAATATTGCACATTAATATTGTGGCCATAAATAATACACTGAAATAAGAAACTTCTTAAAACTGACCTCCGAAAAAGCAAATACAGAAGACAAAGTGCTGTAAAGAAATTACACATATCACTTCTGTGGACTGTTATGACCACACTGTATTTCAGAGTAAACTTAATTAGCAGGAACACTTTTTACGATGACAACAGAAATCGTATTTATAAACAGAGAAAATCAAAACTTTTAATATTGTAGCTCTTCAAAGCTAATAAAGTAATTTTTCTCATGAAAAGATAGAAGAGGCAGACATTATAAAGGTACTATTTCATAGCCCCCGGAGGCACAATATAATATAATAATAAAAACATACGACATGATTTATGGTCACTATTTTGCGTCCTGCAAGTCAATGTAATAATTTGCACAAGACATTTCTAGCAATTGTGTTATCACTCTAAAGCCCACTTCCGGGAAACCAATGTCATAAAGATACACCTTTAAAAGTTGGAGTTTTTTTTTCTCTCAAAAACCGATTATTTAAACATTAATTTTACACTGGTTTATACAACTTCTTTGAACATGTTCAAAGTATAAAGACAAGGAACTATAAATTCCTGCATGTGGTTGAATGATGCATTTGATGTGAATGTACATTTGGTCTCTTTTCATATTGAATTTTAATGAGTTAAAATTTTTTATGTATACCAGCATGTCAATGTGTTTTTACGGTCCCGTACAGCTAAGAAAAAATTCCCTCTGGGGTAAAAAAGTATTATCTTATCTTATCTTATCTTATCTTATCTTATCTTATCTTATCTTATCTTATCTTATCTTATAAAATGATGTTGATCTAGTACTAAGTGAGAGACCATTATGTAAGTATTAAGTCAGACAACGACATAGAAAAGTCTAGAAAGTCTGGCACTTACCGGAGCTCCTGGGGCGCCGTCCCTTCCTGGGGGTCCTTGAGGTCCGGGGGGTCCCTCGGGGCCCTGGTCGTGATCGGGAGAGAAAGAAGGAATGAACAAATAATATGGGAGTGAAAGAATATAATAATTATGAATGGAGCAACGCTTTCTGCATCGCACCACGATCGGGAGAGAAAGAAGGAAGGAACAAATAACAAGTGAATGAAAGAATACTGTCATAAAAGGAGCAACGCGTTTTGCAGAGCTCAACGATCGGGAGAGAAAGAAGGAATAAACAAATGATACGAGAATGAAAGAATACGACATGAATGGAGCCACGCTTTCTGCAGAGCGCCAGTTCGGTGTTCAGGGGGGGGG